GATCCGCATCAATAAAAAATTTGCAAACCTAATCGGATAGAATTTGCACTTCGAGCCATTCTCCTTTTTTCCCCACTTGTAGCACTTTGCTAAAGTGAGCGAGCATGTCCCACTAATTTGGCTTTAGCAGCTTTAACTTTTTCGAAATCAAAGAAATGATAATGTACAAGTAAGTCTTTCAAATCATTGATTCATCATAAACTATTTCTGAGATCATTCCCCCATCTACTATAGGAATATAGTTTTAAACCTCATAATAGTTACAATATGTTGAGAGGTTTGATGGAGAAATATAGAGAGAACTAAGGAGGATCTATATATGATATTTAGTGATTTAGATAAAGCATATGATGATAAAATTTCGAAGTGCTCTAGAGAGTTCTATAAAAGAAAGGTGTTAATAATGCTTATATTCAAGTCATTAAGGATATGTATATAGGAGTTGTTCCTTGAGTTCAAACACTAGATGGTTTGACCAAATATTTTCCTATTTCAGTTAGATTATATCAAGGATTAGCTTTAAGTTCATATTTTTTTGCTTTAATCATGGATGTTCTTATTAGACATTTAAAAGAGGATGTACCTTGGTGTTTGCTTTTTGCTGATGATATTCTTCTTGTTGATAAGACTAGGAGGGAGTTGAAGGAAAACTTGAATTATAGAGGTCAAACTTAGAGTATAAAGGTTTTCGTTTGAGTAGATCTAAAACTGAATATGTCGAGTGTAATTTTAATAGTTATAGGTCTAGCATTGGGATTCTGACATTGGATAATCGAATCATTAAAAAGAGTGCACGGTTAGATATCTTGGGTCTATTGTTCAAAACAATGCTGAAATAGGTGGGGATATTAGTAGTATAATTTAAGTTGGATGGTTGAAGTGGAGGAATGCATCAAGTTTGTTGTGTGAAAGAAAAGTAGCCTCAAACTTTAAAGGAAAATTTTATAAGATGGTGGTGAGACCTGCAATTAGGGTTTTAAACGAACCGAGCTAAGTCGAGCATGTGCTTGTTCATGTTTGTTTGAGCTCGATTCAAACTTTCTGGTTCGTGTTCAAGCTTGATTCGTTTAAGTTAATGGATGTGCATATTTGGTTTGTGTTTAGTTCATGTTCGGTTCGTGCTTATCGAGCTTTAATCAAACGAGCCTTATCAAACTATAAATGAGCTTTATCGAGTATACTAACAAACATGTTTGCGAACATTTCTAGCGATTGTTTCAAACTACCAAACAACATGTTCACGAATATATATAGTAAGTGTTTTTTAGCTACCAAACAAGCCTATTAACGAACATATCTAAAAAGGGTTTTCAAACTATCAAAAAAGCCTATACATGAACACATCTAGCGAGTATTTTTGAATTACCAAACGAGCTCGTCTACAAGCAAATGAGCTATAATTCTTCTTATAAGAAAGCTTGTTTTAGACTAACTTATTATTATGTTTTAAATTATAATGAACATAAAATATTTATATTAGATTTATTAAATTTCCGTATCAAACAGTCAAGCTTTATATTTGCAAGAAGATGTTCCTTGATATATGCTTTTTGTTGATGATATTCTTCTTGTCGATAAGAGTAGAGATGGAGTTAAAGGAAAACTTGAATTATAGAGGTCAACCTTAGAGTCTCATGGTTTTCATTTGAATAAATATAAAATTAAATAAATGTAGTGTAATTTTAATAGTAATAGATAATAGTGGGAGGATTGTGACTTTGAACAAACAAGTCATTAAAAAGAGTACATGTTTAGATATTTTGAGTGTATTGTTCAATGTGATGATGAAATATATGGGGGTGTTTTTAGTAGAATTCAAGTTAGATGGTTATTCTTCTTGTTGATAAGACTAGGAGGGAGTTAAAGGAAAACTTGAATTATAGAGGTCAAACTTAGAGTATAAAGGTTTTCGTTTGAGTAGATCTAAAACTGAATATGTCGAGTGTAATTTTAGTAGTTATAGGTCTAGCATTGGGATTCTGACATTGGATAATCGAATCATTAAAAAGAGTGCACGGTTAGATAACTTGGGTCTATTGTTCAAAACAATGCTGAAATAGGTGGGGATATTAGTAGTATAACTTAAGTTGAATGGTTGAAGTGGAGGAATGCATCACGTTTGTTGTGTGAAAGAAAAGTAGCTCTCAAACTTAAAAGGAAAATTTTATAAGATGGTGGTGAGACCTGCAATTAGGGTTTTAAACGAACTGAGCTAAGTCGAGCATGTGTTTGTTCATGTTCGTTTGAGCTTGATTCAAACTTTCTGGTTCGTGTTCAATCTTGATTCGTTTAAGTTAATGGATGTGCATATTTGGTTTGTGTTTAGTTCATGTTCGGTTCGTGCTTATCGAGCTTTAATCAAACAAGCCTTATCAAACTATAAATGAGCTTTATCGAGCCTACTAACAAACATGTTTGCGAACATTTCTAGCGATTGTTTCAAACTACCAAACAACATGTTCAAGAATATATATATAGTAAGTGTTTTTTAGCTACCAAACAAGCCTATTAACGAACATATCTAAAAAGGGTTTTTAAACTATCAAAAAAGCCTAACATGAACACATCTAGCGAGTATTTTTGAATTACCAAACGAGCTCGTCTACAAGCAAATGAGCTATAATTCTTCTTATAAGAAAGCTTGTTTTAGACTAACTTATTATTATGTTTTAAATTATAATGAACATAAAATATTTATATTAGATATATTAAATTTCCGTATCAAACAGTCAAGCTTCTAACAAGCTTCTTATCGAGCTTCATATCGAGCATGTTCATGAGTTTCAGATAATGTTATTTATGAACATAATGAGTTGAACACATACTTGTTCAAGTTTGTTTATTAAAGCATCCAGTATTTAAGAAAATATTCAATCTTGTTTGATTACTTAACTAAACGATCACGAACAAGCTTTTATTGAGCTAAGCCTCGAGTAATTTGTTGAACACTCAGTTCTGTTTACAACCCTACCTGCAATGTTTTATGGAACAAAATGTTGGACATAGAGAAACATAAAGTTTAAGTTAAGTGTTGTAGGGATGAGTGGCTTTACATTTAGAGGCAGAATGTAAAACGAATATATACATGAAAAAGTTGGAGTAGCTCCAATGGCAGATAAGATTAGAGAGTCATCTTATATGATTTGGTCACATAAAACGTCAGCCTTTCGATGACCCGATTTGGAGAGTATATATATTAGATTCAGGCTTAAAAAGACTTGGTTAGAAAGTGTTATAAATGATACTTTTTATTAGATTTAAATGAGAAATTGACTTTTAATGTGACACAATGTAGAAAAAAATTATTCATGTACCCCACCCCATGTAGTGGGATAAAGGTTTGATGTGCAGTTGTTGTTGTTGTTGTTGATCATTACAATATGTTTATCTAGAACTATAACTTGCTTGATCCTTCCTAAATTGCATCATCGATTATTTTTTGGTTGTCCAATTATGTTCTATATTTGCCCAACATAATGGCAAACCATAAATTTTAATGCCAATATTATGCATGATGACTTGGGGTTTCCTAATGCAACTATTATCATGTGTAGTATGATTTCTTGCAGTGGAAAAATTGAAGATTTATAGATTAGTAGTTACAATTCTATTTTGCAACTCTCTTTTAATGATAAAAATAAATAATAATTTATAAGCCCAATTGATAATGAAATGATAAAAATATTTCAAAATTTTAGTAGAAATTTATAACATGTAGGAAAAAAATTAATTTTCATAAAATTAAATTTGCCATATATTAATTTTTGTCCAAATCAGAAGTACCAAACTAGCTAATGACAAATCAAACAAAAGAAACATAATTATCAAAGTAAAAAAAAATCAGACCGTATGTTGGTACAAGGATGCGAGTTTCTTTGGACTTAGATAATTGCTTTTATATCGCACCTGAATGAATCACACTTCCAACTTGCGCGCATAAGATTGAGAATAGAAAGAAAAATTTTGTTCAAGTCAGAAGTTATGAACTGTATACCTTAGTTCACTATTTATAGACTTCGCATAGCCTATATTAATAAAGAAGTTGGATTAATTTAAACCCAATTTTAAAATCGTTAATGTGTTATTTTTTAATAAATATAACTTGAAATTTTAAATCTGCTCATTGTAATCGTCAAAACTTAGATACATGCGGCCAAGAAATCCAACCAATGCATTGTTACAATTACCTGCACGGAACTCCGTTGCAATGATGCTACAGTAACTTCCTGTGGTGAACTGTTGCAATAGCTGCGCTAGACACTTTCATACGTGTGCATCAGGATCTAACATAAATCAGGGACACCTTTTCTGTTTTTTTTTTTGGTTTTTAAAGGATGCAAAAAGCTCTGATCCGCATCAATAGAAGAGCAGCACGTCTAGCCAAATAGTGCATGGATTGGGTTGTTACCGTGAGAACTTGCCCTAACCTGATAATTGTTCTGGTTCATTTTGAATTTAGTTCGAAGTCATGAATTCCTAATCAAGTAGGATTGGCTGGTTATTGGCTTACTGTCCAGACTGAACCAACCTTAAGCTGAATTATACCTCTAGCTACTTGACCATTATAATTTAGAAGTTACTTATGGACTTCTATTTTTGGGTTTGTTTTTTAGAATATGATTGTTAATGTATATTCTCATCTGTAGATCTTTCAATGCGGTTATTGAAGAATAATTGTAAGCCAAAGCCTTAATGATAATTTCAAACTAAGATAATTGTTCTGGTACAACGTTTGGGAGGATATTTAAGTTGTAGTTTTTTTTTTCTTTTCTTTTTTTAAAGTTGAAGATGCAAATGCAACTACCCATAGCATAGCAGGTTAACTTTGTACCGTTATTTTCATAATATTTTGTTTGTTATCCAACTAAATAATGACAAATCTTTGCAGTCAATATATTTAACGGTAGTTTGAAAATGAGAGTTCCATGATAGACTTACTTTTTCTCTATGTACTGATGAAATTATTCTTTGAAGCTTAGTTTCAAGTCTCCCATATGCAGGTTATATTGGAACATCAGTAACTGATGGCCCTGGGTGCTTAATGCTCCGGTGCCCAGATCCATCTTGTGGTGCTGCTGTTGGTGAAGACATGATTAATATGCTCACCTCTAATGATGATAAGGAGAAGTATTCACGTTATCTTTTGAGATCTTATGTTGAAGATAATAGAAAGGTATGTGAGAACTGTAATTGATGATTCGTAGAGTAAGTTTAGTTGTACAGGTGGTATAATTGAAATTACAAACTCTCGTGTTGTTTTGCCATGTTTACAACAAGAGTTCTGCATCAAGTTGTGAATGAAAAAGAGGTTTCTAGTTAGTGAAAACTTATATCTTAGTGAAGTAACCTTTTGTTTTCTGCAATGTATTGTGTGATATCTATAATAATTGTTATGATTGTGAAAATTTCTGTCAGATCAAGCTTATCTTTTGATGAAAAAAACGCATATCTTGAGACTATTCAAAAGAATTGAGCCATTGACTGATTTTATTTCGGAGACCTAACAAGCTCATTATGATGTGCCATTCCCTAAATAAGATCGATTCATCACATTGAGTCTATGGATGCCTAGATAGCTTGAATTGGAGTGCAAATGATTGAACCAGATGATTATGGTTAAATTGGTCCAGCTCAACTAGGCTACATCTTGTTTACATGCGATGAAATCCATGTGTAAAGTTGGACCTGGAATGGCAATTGCATTCCAACTGACTTTAATTCGAGGACCCTAAACTAGCTACAACGCTTGTCTTGACACAAGAGGCATGCTGTTGACCTTTAATTCACTTTATGTGCAATCATTCTATTCAATCAAATAATCATGTTTGGGCATAATTTTGTGTCCTAAAATAGAAGTTAAGCTTAACCAATCCGACTTGAGTGCACCCTCAAGTTGGTCTTGGGCATGAATATCTCTGCTTGGCTTGTCCTAACTCAATTCGACATGAAAATTTTTGGTGCAATTTTGGTTGGTTTGAATTGACTCAACTTGACCCAGCATAATCAAAACTCAAGTCTAGCTCAAATGGTCGACCTAAATATTGGTTTTGGTGGGCCTTAGAAAACACTTTCAATTCTTTTGACCTGACACGAACCTGTGCTGGCTCACCAGTGCCCTAGTCTAGTTGCAAGTGATTACATAATTTTTTTGAATAAGAATTAAGTGTATTCCTCAAGAAGTTAATCATTAATGCTCATTTGCAGGTTTTTATCTAAGATTAAAAAATCTCGAGGCAATCATCATATGACATTTGTGGATAGCATGCTGCTTTTCTGCATTTTAAAATTTTTTTCATCACATAAACATCCGCCTTAAATATTCTATGAGTTCCGCAGATTTTTTTGCATGCTTGTATCGAAATATTAAGTGATGGTTCTCTCCTATAATAATTGTCCTATTGCTGTGACATTGACCGCATTTCATATCACGAAAATGATAATGCAGTGCATTGTCATTTGAAGACCAAATAGTGCTCATCCCCTATCCACATTAATACGAGGAATTCATCTTTTATTTGTGTCCAGGAGGTTCTACTCTTCAGATAGGATTAGGCCATTAAGCCTAGTTTTGAACTAGACCGTATAAGGTTTCTTACACTTTTGCTAAGTCCACCCTCTGCACAAGACTATGTCATCACGCTTAGCTTTGAACTATAGTTAATGGAAAGTTCCTTACATCTTTTGTGGCTTTGGCTTCAACTTCTCCTCAGTCATTGTGCCTGGCTTTGACCAATGGCTGTTGGAAGATTACTCAAGTTGCTTGCAGGATTAACCTCTCTAAATAGGTCATCAAACTTTTGACCATGCCCATGGTTTTTGGAGAATTACTTACACCCTTTGTGGTTTCAACTTTATCGCACAAGACTATAGCATCAAAATGAGCTCTATTACTTTGAAATTTCCATTTGTTGGTTCTACCTTCTCTACACAAGATTTGGTCATTTAACTTTGCTCTTACTCTTGGTCCTTGAATTTTTCCTTAACAACATTCATAAATTCAATCTCTCTATATAGGATTAGGTCATTAGGTTTAGCATTTACCAAACAATTTGTGAAAGATTCATTAAACCCTTAGCTTGTACAAGTTGTTCACATAGGATCATATGATCATTAAGCATAGCTCAAATCAAGCATCTATGTAAAGTTCCTTGTCTATCTCTGGGAGAGAATTAGGTTATGAAGCTTATAATTGGCCAACATTCTATGAAGGGTTCTCTACATCCTTTCTAGATTCAACCTCTTCGCACAGGTTTACAATTATTCAGCCTAACTTTAACCAATCTCCCATTAGAGGCTCCTTGTTTGTTCCTCGAAATGACATCAAGTATGAATTTGAACAAAGAAAACTGATTGAGATGAGTTCAACTAAAAAATAGGGTGTCTAAGCATGCTTCCAAGTTGGAGTTAAAAGAAGAGCTTATTTTTTTAGCAATTCTTTGTAATAGGTCTCATAGAAAGTCCATAATTCAATGACCTAGTAAAATGGGAGGGTCAAGCCTTCATCATCCTCTAGATGATTTTCCAAACAATAAGCTAACTCGAATGAGGGCTTGCTTTTTTCTAAAAAAATTCATCAAGTTCCAGGGATTGCATGCACAAACTTTTAGCTTAAAGTAGTTTGAAAAATTCAAAAAGTTATCATAATTTGTCTAAAATGATATACACACAGGATTCCATCAAAATTTTTTTAGCTCAAAGTCTAGAGGGGATTTACAAATTGATTGTCCAGGGTGTGGATATGGTCACTGAAGTTTTGACTCAAAATTTGGTTTGTTCCCAAGTCCAGAGTAAGCTGAAAAACTATCCAGCATTACAAAGGTATTTATGGGTTCATCAATTAAAAAAATGTCAAAAAATATGGGTTTAATTATTTGGATTATTAAAATTTATGTATGACCAAACATAAAGCATACATCTCTAAGAAATTTAAAAGGATTGAATTAATGCTTAACTTTATTTAGTTAGTGAGCTAAAAAGTAAACAAGATCTGACATATCACACGAAGTCCATAGGTTAAATTAATTTTGAACTCATCAAATTTCTTGGTTTTGGCTAGGCTCACATGTCCAGGGATTTACTGAACCATTTCCCTTGTATAATCAAGCTACTCCTTCCTTACATGCAGCAAAGAAAGCTAGATGGATGGTTAAGTCTTGAGTGGTGGCCATTGAGGGCCTATCCATGGGGTTCATCTAGCCATGAGTGTTATGTTGACGGTGTTTGATTGTGCTGACGAGGGATTTTTATCATGTGATTCATTTCCGAAGAATCTGGCTTTAATTTGCTGCACCTTTGGCACTCCGATGCTTCATTAGTAGTTTGTTTCTAAGTGGCCCTCTTAGAGGAAATATTTTGATTCTTGTGAAATTGATAAGATATTTATCACATGTTTCCTTTAATTTTTTGTGAGGTGCTTAAAATCCTAGAAATTATTACGATCAATTTATTTGTTGAAATTATGTTCTGTCAACAACTGATGTGCTACTAAGATTGTCACCTATTATGTGGTATTAAGATGGCCTATTCAGATATCACAGATTGCGACTACTATAACATTGCTAGTCTCTCTCAAATATCTTTTTTTTTAACTCTCAAATATCTTGTTTTCCTTGGTTTTGCCAACTTGGTCAACCCATCTGTGGTCATCATACAATCAAAATTTGATTATAGAATGTTTTGACATTCAACTTCATTGCTAATAACTTATAATATTATTTTGGATAAGGATAAAAAAAATCCTCCATGTTATAAATAAGGCTCCTTTAAATTCATTTAGTAGGGTTCTCTTTACAATTTATAAAACTACCAATAATTTCTATTTAATGTTTCATGAGTTTTTTATTTGATCGTTGTACAAAATTTCATTGATATTAACTTCCAAGAATATTCTTGATGTTCATTAAAATGCTCCTCATAAATTTTATAAATAAGGTTCATTTTCAATTTAATTACTAGGATTAGCTCAATGACCTAAAAAAGCTCAATGACCTAAAAAGCCACCAAGCACCTCTTTTTAATAGGGAAATACAACTTTATTGGCCTCATATTAACAAAAATTAAGGCAAAATTTGCTGTTTGTTTTCTTGGGAATATGCCCTCTTTTAAAAACAAAAGCCTCCATTTTTTGAATACAGAGAGTACTTATTTAAAGTTCGTTGTGGTGGACTTTGGTTTGAACAAAGTTTGAAAATTGTTCGAATCATATTCCAGCAAGGTTTGGTCAAATGTTTGATCCATGTCTGAACCATGTGCAAACTATGTTCTTTATTCCAATCTTATTTGAACAATATTCCAATGAGGTCCAAGTATGGTTCAAACAAAATTTGAAAAAGAATTGAATATGATTCGATCACAGATCGACATATGTTTGAAGAAGGCTCGAATATGACTCTAGAATGTATCAAAACACAGTCTGTGAGCTTAATCATAACATGTTATAAGAGATATCATGCAATAGCCATAATACAAGATAGTGGATTTTAAAAGATGTAACATAGTAGGCATAACAAATAGTATAACTAAAGAGCTATGTGATAAAATTCATAACATGACAGATGTAAATTCATAGGTAATATAAACATGATGAATCAAAGAGTAGATGCTCAAAAAAATTAATGTTTTTAACTTTTTATTAGAATTATAAATGATCTTATAGACCTATATTATTGCGAAATAAGTTTATTACACATAAACGGTCCTTGTAGAATTATATGCGAATATGTATAACTTCTGGACTATTTTTCTTTGAAATTAGGTATGCCATTACAAATAATAAGTAAAATAATTATCATATTATATGTGCAAGAACTATTTAAATTGCTTTTTTTTAAATTATAAATGAATTATCTTATTTTAGATATTGGGAACTCATTTCTAGTGGTTTTCCTCCGCTTCGAAGATTTGGATGAGAAAAGTTTCTATTTGATGTCGAATAGTTTTGAATTTTTGATTGCTCAAGCAACTTTGGTAAACACCTATATAATGAATTTATCGTTGCTTTTGAGGTCCATAGTGTGGTGCAAGTGGGGCAATAGTTGTACAACATCATGCACCCCAAGCTTTGTATGTAACCTGAGCACTGTAATGTCTCTCATGTGGTCTGATTAGAACAGACATCTGGATTCACAACAAAACAACTCAAATGAGAAAGACAAAATGAAACATCTTCAAACAATGATTAAACCATAGTTGTGCCATAGTTAAATCTTAATCAAACTCTGATCGTACAATCTTCAAATCATAATTGATTTGTTTTGAGCATTATTCAATTAATTTTAGAAACAAAATCGAACCATCTTTGAATCATGTTTGAAACATCTCCAAATTATGATTTAACCATCTTCCATCCATGTTTGAACAATCTTCAAATCATGTTATATCATCTTCAAATGCTGCTCAAACCTTGATTGATTCATCTTCAAACATTTTTATCATGGTTTGAAGGTGTTCGATCTTGCTTTGATTGTAGTTCTAAGATTGTTCAAATCATGATCGAAGATAGTTTGAAGATGGTTTGTCATGATAAAATCATTATTCAAAATAGTTTGAATATGGTTCGAAGGTTGTTCGATCATGATTGAAAGATTGTTTAATCAAGGTTTGATGATTGTTCAATGATGGTTTAAACAATTTTCGAAGATGAAGATGGTTCTAACAAGTACTTATTAGATAATCTGATATCAACCTCCAATTGTGCTTAGGGTTTAGAGTGCGAACACCGTATTTAATCTTTTATAACCAAACAAATAGCATCACTAATCTTCACAAATGATGAATGGAGAGAGACCATCACCATGAAATTTTGTTTGCAGCCCAAACAAACCTGCTTTGCAATCACATGAAATGTAAAAGGTGTTGGGAAGAAGAATAATTGAGGATTTCATATGATCAAAATGTCGTGCAACTGTTCAACATGGATTTCAACTTGATTTGTTAAAAATCTAGTATATTTTTATTTGAAACAAACTCTTAGGTATATTTCCCCAAGAAAGAATTGTGAGCATATTTCTCCAATTTTTGCTATTACGGGATATATAATGTTAAATTTCTCTTTTAATATTTCATGAGTTTCTTTTAATTGCCCTATAACCATTCGTTCATTAGTCCCATGAATTTCATGCTATCAATCTTAAGGTTTGAATGATGCTCATCTTCTATTTATGAAAGTCTTATCATCATGCTGCATATGCCGACTAAGACATCGACAATGTCACCATCTAAATGCCATAAAATATTTATCTCTTTCTCATAGACATTACCCCAACATTTGCATTGGGCATGCCACATGCGAGAATTATCATTTTGCCTGTCACCATCTGAAAACCAGATGACGTCCAAGACCATTACAAACAATGCTCCATAGCATGCTCTGATGCTTTTTGGAGATACCAATCTTTGAGCGTCTTTGATCTTGTCATTTCACTCTCCTTTCATGTTTGGAACTTGCATCATTGTGTGCTAGAGGGCCAACATAGGTGCCTTAGGTAATGATTCTGATCTCATAATTGGCCAACATAGGTGCCTTAGGTAATGATTCTGATCTCATAATTACCCAAGCAACCGTGTGGACTGACTTGTTGGTTACATAGTTATTAACATCATTTTTTATGCTAAATATTTCATTTTCTTTTTAGAAAGATCTAGTCTGGAATGCAGCATTTTTATGCTAAAGCATGATGGTATAGGCGGACATATTTATGCTTTTTATGCATCATTGTCTATCTAAAAAACAATGCTGAAAAGCTGAGCTTAGTATTTCTTAGTGTCCCGTAAAAACTGTTGATAACCACAAGAATTTTGTTTCTTTCAGTTTTGCTGAAAGCCCCAATAAGAATATGAATGTCTTGTAATTAACAATTTCAGATTTTTTTGGCTTTTGGTGCTTCGAAAATTTGTTAATGTGGATGACTTCTCTTACATTGCTCCTTGTTTAAAAGTAGAACTCTATATCGCTTATCATTTTTTACACGACTCTTTCCTGAATGTTGTGCTTGAACGCCCTGTGTGTAATAAATTTTAATTGCAATTATGGAATTGTACTCGGGCCTCCAAATTGAAATCTATTGTCTTCTACTAATTCTGAATCGCATTGATAATACTATAGAATATTTTTGTTAATAGACCAGTTATTTCTAATATTTTTGTAATGTTTCTCATCTTCAGACCAAATGGTGCCCAGCTCCAGGGTGTGAGTTTGCTGTGGAGTTCGTTATGGGTAGTGGCAGCTACGATGTTACTTGCAATTGTTCATACAGTTTTTGTTGGAACGTTAGTTCGAAAGGCTTTACTGCTTTTGATTATACAATATTTTATTATTTTTTATATAAAGAAAGTATATATATATATATATATATATATATATATATATTATGGGAGTTGGTATCTTGCAGTGTACTGAGGAAGCTCATCGACCAGTGGACTGTGCCACTGTTGCTAAATGGATACTGAAAAACTGTGCTGAATCAGAGAACATGAATTGGTTAGTTTCCTTACGTAGATTTACTGATTCGAGATATATATTTTTTATGCAATGGAACAATTTGATTTGCCTTGTGCTCATTTTTCTGTGGGATTCAACTTCGAGCTGTGTTGGCTGAGATAAGAGTGCCTAAAAGATTGTTCGCCCGGTTTTTTTTTTTCAAATTTGTTAGCGTGTTAAGTTTTTCCGTGGGGGTACAATTCCTTGTTTGATGGATGAAATGTTGTACTTCTTGGCATCTTTTGGTCATAGGATTCATCAATGTTGTTTGATCAGATTGCTTCCTTCTACAACTATTGCACCTTGAATAAATTGAGTATTATTCCTGATGCTATTCCATGATCCAAAATCATGTCTGCCTCCAGTATAACTATAAATTTTTACTCTGAATTGATTTTAAAAGTGTATGAAGTGACTTGTTTTGAATCGTTATGTATTCTTTATCTTTTTATATGCTTTTTTCAGGATATTGGCCAACTCAAAGCCTTGTCCCAAGTGCAAGAGACCGATTGAGAAAAATCAGGGATGTATGCATATCACATGCACACCTCCTTGTAAATTTGAATTTTGTTGGTAAAGATTATCAAACTTTGTGCTTGAGTTTTTTATTTTATTTTATTTTATGTCTGCATTTATGTACTTATTGAGATGTATCTTTTTACCATTCTATTCTTTGATTTTTTTATTTTTTGGGAAAATTTTCAGGCTATGCCTTGGTGCATGGTCCGAACATGGGGAAAGAACTGGCGGTTTTTATGCATGTAATCGTTATGAAGCAGCAAAACAGGAGGGAGCAGTATGCTAATGCCTAGCTACTTTTTTAACTGTTAATTATGCATGGCTATTAAGATTTTGAATTTTTATCATATTTTTCCTATTGAATTCATTTCAGTATGATGAGTCTGAAAGGAGGAGAGAAATGGCTAAAAATTCTCTTGAGAGATACACTCATTACTATGAAAGATGGGCTACAAATCAATCGGTATGTGAATTTTGCACTTCGTTTTATTGTTTTTTTTTAATCACCTTGATGCAGGACTAATTAAATGACATGCTTATGGAATCATTTGAACATTGCACAACTATTAGATTAGAATAATTTCGGAATAAATTACGAGCAATTTCAACGAAGAATTAAAACAAAAGAGGAGATCTCTTGCGTAGGCTAAATCACATGCTCCAAGCTTTGAAATTTTCAAGATAATAAGATAATTGAAACAATGCAAAATAGTAGTCTTCAATTTAATCCCTAATCTAACAACGAGAGTTAGGATGCAAAGAAAGTACACTAAAAAACCTACGAATTACTAGGCTTAGCAAGAGCACTTGGATGAGTCTTTTGCGATTACAATCAAGCCAAAGAGAATTTAGATTTCAAAGAAATAAGATACGAGTGAGAAAAGAAACCTTTGCCAAAGAGACGCAGGGATCCTCCATTCAAGGCTTTCGACATGCTCGTTGATGGCTTCCGTTAAAACGCACAAGATGCAATCCACGTCCTCTTCAATAGTATGGTCAATCTCCTTCACCTTGATGATGTACTTGGATATCTTGAAAAGAAAGAAGCTTCTATGGCATTGTGGGAGGGGAAGGAACCAAGTATTAAACCCTGGGATCAGCTTTAGGTTTTAATATTTGGAACAAGGGAATTTAGCATGGAAGATCCAATATGGCCCATGGAGGAATCGGCAAGCAGCAGGTAAGGCTTCAAACTTTTCTCACAGGGAAATTAAACACTCAGGTGGGATTTCTAAAAGAAATCCTAATAGGGAGGCTGACGGGTTGGGAGTGAGAGGAAATCTCGGGAGTTATTTCCTAACTCAGGGGGGTGACTTTAGGAAATAATACAGAGACGGGACCTGAGGTGAATTCGGCCCAGAAAGATATTTAGTTTGAATTATTTCCACATGAGCCTATGAGGTGATTAGGAAATAAATCCACATTTACTCACATGGGGGAGCCGGCTAAATGCATGGCTTAGGGGATTGATTTGTGAGAGTAAATAAGGATTCCTAATTTAGGTTTTAGATTTAGGAAATAATTAATTTAAATCCTTTTGAATTTAAAATTCAAAATAGATGTAAATCAATTACTTTCCTAAAATAGAATAGCTAATTTAGGAAATGTTTTGAATTCAAATTTGAGTGAATTTGAATTTCAAATTACTTCCAATTAATACCAACCAAATTAGGAAATAAAACTTAGGGAGGCAAAGGGGAGGGTGGCCGGAGGCCAAAGCCTTGGCCGGCGGCAAAGGACTTGGAGGTACGAAAGCCGTGGGGTTTGGACTTGGACAGGGAGGCGGGCTCGGGGGATGTGGCCGGCGGTTTGTGGGGAAAGGAGGGAGGGGAGTTCGATGACGGGATGATAACGAAGACAAAGAAATAACCACGAACCCGGCCGTCTCCAAGGTTGGTGGGTGATTCGCCAATCTCCCTCTCCTAGGGATCTCTCTCCATTAGAACACACAAGTTCTCACAAACTCATTCAAAAGGAAAATATCATAAGCAATCATTCATTCATTCATTCATTAACTTGAAATAGAACAAGGTGGGGCTTTAAATAGCCTCATACACATGACTCAAAATAAAAAAAGAAACAAATGCCCTTTGGGCATACATACGACAACTCCCATAAGAGGGGTACAACGGGAAATAATAAAACCACATAAGCAAATAACATAATACATGAAAATAAAAAATACATCAATGACTCAAAAATATAAAGACTCGATCGTGGCCGTAGATCGGCGGCCACGTCTCTGATAAACTTTCCATGATGATCTGATGTCCCCATCACACCTCTTTGTTTGGCATCATTTAGTTGCTTAAGTTGTTAATCCCATGTAGAATTGGAAGTTTGCCCATTTATTATCTTCTGCATTGCGTAAAAAAATTTATATTATTTATCGATCAAAACTGTAAGTAAATTCTATGTTATTTTTCTTATCTTGGCTAATTGTGTGGTCACATTACAAATAATCCAACCAACACATTTTCCAATGTATAAATAGCCACTAAACCATAATATTTTGTTAAGTCAACCTATACACAAAACTAGTCTATTTCATACATCTCAAATACATCAAATGAAATTGTATACATTTGATTATTAAATATCTATTTCTACTCACTTATCTTCTTCGATACACAAATCCTTCACTATCACTCATTCAATATGGATGAGTCTTTACTGAAACATTAATATTTGATAACTTTGTGTTCCTAGAATATAACTCAGTGATTAATAACAGTTTTATAATTGATCAATTTCAAAAATAGAAAATAAAAAGCTTTTGTGAGTTATCATAAGTGATCATTATAAATTTCATTGATAAAGAATCTATATAAATATATTAAACAGGTGAAGTACAAATAACATCAACATGTAGAAGATGATATTTTATAATGTTTTTATCATATCATATCTTTTAATATAATATCCATCCTTGGAGCACCGTTTAAAATGTACACCAATTAAGGCAATAATATTTTCCTTTATATTTCCTTAACCTTCTCTATTTTGCATGCACGAGTACATTGTATTCACTGCCATCGTCATTAAGGGGATGAATTCTTTTTGTATAACATGCATATACATTTCCTTTCATCATTTTTTCTTGCTTTTACATTTAAGTTTGTACATTCATGGGTCTCAATAAGACGCTGATAAGCAACACTTGAAGATTTCAAGTAGTTCCTATCAATTTCTGGAAAACAACGAGAGATCTCTACGAATTCAGTGGAAAAAAAATAGAGATAAAAATCATTTTATGGAGAAGAAAACAACTAACGGAAGAACAACAAACAAGATACAAGTGTTCCTCTATTCGAGAGGAGGATCTATCTCTCCCAAATTTCTAGACGCCACTAGAGCCCAAAGAAACCAAAAGGATCTCAAATTTCAGCCAAATTCAAGATTTCATAACCCTAGGAAAACAAACTATTTAATGCATACAAATCAAAAGGAAATTCATAAACAATCCCTACATTCAAATTCCCCTCCAAATTCCCTCAAAAAACCTTCCACAATAGCTCCCATGGATCTCGCGACATCCGCGACATGCACTAGAGGCGAAAAAGTTTCGCCTCTGTTGTGTTGGGCCGATCCCGTGTGGACTGGCTGGATTGGTTTAACAATACTCCCCTCCCAAAGATCCACCTTGTCCGCAAGGTGGAAAAACAACACCCTCCTCCATTCCTTCTTCATCACCTAAGATGCACGGACACTGACACGGCGACACGGACACGACACGGGACACGGGACACGACATTTTTTAAAAATATAGGACACGGGTGCGGCGTGGACACGACATAATAATTTTAAATATAATATATATAAATTAAGGTAATATTATATTAAAAATGGCAAGCAATATTAAATCAAAGTCATGATAACTTGTTTAGCTTATAACATAAAGATGTTTTTTATAAAATGTCTAGTACAACCACAAAAATATAACCAAAAAATCATTTAGTACAACATGAAAGTTCAACTACTCAATAGAGGGAATGATAGAATTAGATTCAGCTGTTGGTCTTTGGCCTTCAATATCATCATCATTGAATATCATTGCTTCCAACTCTGGTTCATCTAAAGAAAGATTTGCAACCTCCAATAATCCCATTATCATCAAGGCACTCGAACCCATCTCCAGCAACATCCCACATCTTGTTATCACCTATCATATAAAGTGGGGTTTTCCTTGATAGAAGACGAAGATTTGTATGCACATAAGTTAAATCTTCAGCTCGTTGTGGAGTTATTTTATTCCTTTTCATTGATTGAATATATGAGTATGTGATCCAATTTCTCTCACAACAGGAAGAGGATGATACTTGACCAATAAGTTTTATTGCTATTGTTTGAAGAAGAGGTGCCGACGCTCCATGAATTAATCACCACATTTTTGGATCCATCCTCCATCTATCAACCAAAGATTCTTGATCACCAAAATCCTCTAAATATCCAAAGAACTTTGCAAGTTCTATATTAATTTTTCTTCATTCAACTCCTCTCGCTGCTGCAAGCTGAAAGCCTTCTCTAAAGGACTACTGGCAATTCCTTTTCTTTTCTTTGTTTGATATCCTTCACTTCTGAATGATAAAGAATGATCAACTCTAACCGATGAGGAAGAAGCATGGGACGAACCATGGGTAGATGGCAAAGGTATCTCCTTAGGGAGTGCCCTTTTGATCCTACATTCAGCTTCATCAACTTGTCTGTTTATTTCAATCAACTGCGAAGTAGTAATCTTGGGACACATTTTAATTCTATGGCCAGCTATCTTAAGTAGATGTGCTTTCACCCTAGAATATGATCCTTTGTAGGTTCCATCACAATAATTACATTTGAATGACACATTCCCTCCTTCAAATGTTTTTCCTAACTTAGTAACATGAAGCCATAATGGCTTATCAGTTTCTACAGATTGTTCATTTGAACCTTCGCCTAATCCACTCCCACCAGCTGCAGAGCTCATTTTGCTTTAAAATGCACTGGTAAAATGGAAGTAATAAAGGCATTGATAAGCATTTTATTATACTACTGAGCATGCTATTGCACCACTACAACGAATATGATGTAAATAGAACATTATTGTAAATGCAAACTACTAATAAAAGACTACAAGACCACCAATGCTACAATGACCATAACATTCAAATATTCAATTAAAGGTTATCATGTCACTCAAAGGTTTTCATATATTTTGGCAAACATCACATACTAAGCAGTGCAAAACTAACTTCATAATAATGAACTCATAATCTAGCAAAGCTTTAGAGCTTCCACCATAAGTTTTGATGTAACAATAGGAGTTAAATTACAGGAAAAAATTTCTATATTCCTAATTTTTTATAAGGCAACAATAGAGATTTTCATATATTTTGGCCTCACAAAACCCTAAAAGTGAAGATTTAGTAAAAAAACAAAGAGAGTAGGGTTGCAACTTGTTAACTTTCTACCATTTTTTGTTCTTGT